GCCTCTCCTGGCAGGGCCCTCTCAGGGGAGCAGCCTTGATGGGGAGGGGCCCTCTGCTCTTCCTTCTCCCTGTAGGGATTCCCTGCTGCTGGAGACTGGCTTCCTGGCGGTGCTGGTGGCCCCCCTGAGGCAGCCCCCCCACCAGAAGCAGCCCCCCCAGGGTGGGCTGGCAGGAACCTTGCCCCACGAAGGCCTCCCCTTCTGGCTCGTGCGCTGGCTGCTGTTTCGCCTCATGTTCGCCTCGGGTGTGGTCAAGCTGACCAGCCGTTGCCCCACGTGGTGGGGGCTCACTGGTGAGGGTCCCCGCCTGCACACGGGGCAGCCTCGGGGGGCGCTGCCCAGCCCTGACCACCCACCGTCCCCCGCAGCCCTCACCTACCACTACGAGACGCAGTGCCTGCCCACGCCTGCTGCCTGGTTCGCCCACCACCTGCCCGTCTGGCTGCACAGGCTCAGCGTGGTGGCCACCTTCCTCATCGAGATCGCGGTGCCCCCTCTGTTCTTCGCCCCTGCTCGCCGCCTACGCCTGGCTGCCTTCTACTCCCAGGTGAGCGGGCAGATGCCCGTCAGGAAACAGGCGGGAGTTGGCCTTCTGACCACCCGGGGTCCCGTTGGGGACTGGGTCGCTGCCGCCCGCAGTCAGGAGGCTCGTGGGCAGAGGCCGGGTTAGCTCTAGGCAGGAAGGTGTGCCTGTGGGGCGGAGCAGGGCCTCGCTGGAGGACGTCGGGCTCAGATCGGCAGGGGCGTGAGGTGTGCTGAGCTTGCGTTTTCTCCAAGCGGTGTTGGGGAGCCGTGGTCGGTATGAGCAGAGGGGACAGCACGAGGCCAGGGATGCTGCAGAGGGGGAAGGAGGCCTGCAGGAGAGACCTAGGCGTGGGGGGCAGGCTCTGAAGGGCCCAGACGGGGGCGCTGGTTGGAGTTCTGAGCACAGACCCTCCTGCAGGTCTTGCTGCAAGTCCTGATTATCATCACTGGGAACTACAACTTCTTCAACCTGCTCACCCTCGTGCTCACCACCTCCCTGCTGGATGACAGGCACCTAGCGGCCGAGGCTGGCAACAGCCGTCGCAAGAAGACACCTGCCTGTGAGTGTCACCTGTCCCGGCAGCCAGCCGTCCTCACCCACGTCTCCTTCCCCCAGCAGTCCCCTCTGGCCTCCGCTCTAGCTCCCCAGCCTCCTGGCTGCCCACCCTCCGCCCTGTTCCCAGCTGGCCAGGACTGTCTTGCCCTGCAGCCTGGCCCAAGGCCCTGCTGGCCCTGCCGGCCCTGTTGCTGGAACTGGCCGCCTACGGGCTGCTGGCCTACGGCACCGTGCACTACTTTGGCCTGGAGGTCGACTGGGAGCAGCGCACCATCCACTCTAGAACCAGTGAGTGCCAGCTGGGTGCCAGGGGGCAGGGGCTGGACTGGGCTGCCTGTCCTCACACCCCTTCCTTCCACAGCCTTCACCTTCCACCAGTTTTCCCAGTGGCTGAAGATGGTGACCCTACCCACCATGTGGCTGGGGGGCGCCTCCCTCGCCTGGGAACTGCTGACCTCCCTCTGGAGGTAAATGCAGGGGGGTGGCGGGGGGCGGCGCGGGCTGTAGAGCTGTGCAGAGCAGGGCTGACGCACTTGGCCCCTGACCCTCAGGTGGACCCAGGTGCAAGGGTTGCTACAGAAGCTCTGGACTGCAGTCCAGCTGTCCATCTTTGGCACTGCCACCGTGGCCATGTTCCTGGTCAGCCTGGTGGGTAGCACTTCACAGGGGATCGGGAGAGGGGCTGGGAGGGGCGGGAGGAACAGCACTGAGCCTCCGCCCACCGCCTCCAGGTGCCATACTCCTACATGGAGCCCTCCACCCACGGGCGCCTCTGGACTGGGGCCCACCGCCTATTTGGCGCCGTGGAGCACCTGCAGCTGGCCAACTCCTACGGCCTCTTCCGACGGATGACCGGCCTGGGTGGGCGGCCCGAGGTGGTGCTGGAGGGCAGCTATGACAAGCAACACTGGACGGTGAGCACTCCACGGGCGGGGAGCCCAAGGGGGGTGGGGTTGTCGGGGAGGATGGGGGGAAACCAGGTCTAGCTGCTCTCCCAACCCGGCTGGGTGTGGCGCACAGGAGATCGAGTTCATGTACAAGCCTGGGAACGTGAGCCGGCCACCCCCTCTCGTGGCGCCCCACCAGCCGCGCCTCGATTGGCAGATGTGGTTCGCGGCCCTGGGCCCGCACACACACAGCCCGTGGTTCACGAGCCTGGTGCTCTGCCTGCTGCAGGGCAACGAGCCAGGTGAGGCTGGAGCAGAGGGTCGGGCTTGCTGGGGGGCTTATGGGCAGGGCTGAGGGAGCAGCCAGCTGAGCCCACTCCCCCGCAGTGATCCGCCTCATCCAGAGCGACGTGGCTAGGTACCCCTTCCACAAGCAGCCACCCACCTACGTGCGAGCTCAGCGCTATAAGTACTGGTTCTCACAGCCCGGGGAGCAGGGGTAAGGCTGGGGCACCCGGTGGGGGGTGGGGCCTGGGGGCTCCCCATCGCCTGAGCTCCCCGTCCTGTTGCAGCCAGTGGTGGCGACGCCAGTGGGTGGAGGAATTCTTCCCCCCCGTGTCCCTGGGGGACCCGACACTGGACACGCTACTCAGGCAGTTTGGTCTCCAGGTAGGAAAGTGCTGGCCAGGCTGGGGGTGCTGACAAGGATGACCTCCACCCCCAGGGACGACCCCTCCTGACCCCCCTCAATCCTGCCCCCACAGGACAAGAGCCCCCGCCGGGCCCGCAGCTCCAGCAACGCCCTTGCCCAGGCCCTCCAGTGGGTACGGAGGCAGCTGTCGCCCCTGGAGGCCCCCACCCTGCTCTGGGGACTCATCCTCGCAGTGGGGGCCATCAGGGTCCTGCAGGCTCTGCTGGGGCCCCGTCCCTCCCGAGCCTCCCCTCCCCCCAGGGAGGAGAAGCACAGGCCGGCACCCAAGAAGGACCCGGGAGTGGCCACGGACCAGGCTGCACCCGCCCCCAACAGCAGCAACAGTGGCTCCCAGACTGCCCGGCGGAAAAAGTAGCCGTGTTCCGTCTGCCACACGTCGGAGGGTCGGCATCCCCACACCTCTGGCCTCTGAAGCTGGACATGGCCCAGCCACCGTGCCTTAGCCAGTGGTCCTGGCAGACGCAGGCTGGGGTGCTGCCCAGGGGGCAGGCTCTGGCTGCCCTGCTGCTTCAAGGGTCCACTTGTCCCCCACTGCGCCGACCACGTCCCTTCCAGGGCCCCCTCTGGCCTGGACAGTGGCCCCGGAGGTGGGTGTGGGACCAGCTCAGAGCCCTTCCCAGGACGTGGTGCAGGACTGGGGTCCGAGTCTGCAGAGGCCCGAGTCTGATGCCAGCCCAGCCCACCATTTGGTTCGTGAACCAATAAAGGTTCTTCATGCTTGACCGTGCTGTCTCCTTCCCACAGGGAGGCCTGCGGACAGGCCCCTGTTGTGGGCACAGCCCAGCTGCTGTCCAGCTGTTGCTGACCTGGCTCCTTGGGTGTCTTTGCTCTGCCCTCCTCAGTGTTCCCCTCTGTAAAATGGACACGAGGACCTGGTCTGGCACCGCTCAGGGCCCCAAGCCTCAGTCAGCACAGCCTGGCCCACCTGTCAGGTCTGCACATCAGAGCTGCGAGGCCAGTCAGGGAATGTGGGGCCTGGAACCCACCCAAACCCAGCCCCGTGTCCTGCTGCAGCTCCTCAGGTCACTGCCCTCGGGAAAGAAACGAAGATTCAGAGCACTGGGCGCTGCTTGGGCCAGAAAGAAGGCGAGGTGGGGCGGGGGCCGGGGGCCGCAGGTGGCCGGTAGGAAGGTCTGAGCACCACTGAGCAAGGGAAGACCTGAGAGGCCAGAGCAGGAGAGGGTGTGGTCGCGGGGGAAAGAGGAGCTGGGCCCTGGGTCAGGGTGGAGGAGGGCACCGTCCAGGTTTCCATTTGGGGGTGGGTTGTCAATCAGGTCACTGCCGTCTGTGGGCACTTGCAGCTCAGCCTTCCCTCTGCCCCTCAACCCCCACCCTGCAGGCTCACCACAGAGCCCCGGACAGCTTGCCCAGCTGTGCCCAGCTCCTCTCCATGTCACTGACAAACCCACAGCCACTCATGACTCAGGTGGACCTGGGACCTGAGTTTTCGGGTGGGTTCAAAAGTGCTCTGGCCCTGGCCAGTGTGGCTCGGTTGGTTGGGCATCGTTGTGGGCACTGAAAGGTTGCCAGTTTGATGCCTGGTCAGGGCACATGCCTGGGTTTTGTTGGGCTGGACCCCAGTGGGGGCATGCAGGAGGCAGCCAATCCATGATTCTCATCGATGTTTCTATCTCTCTCTCCCCCTCTCCCTTCCTCTCTGACATCAATAAAAATATATATATTTTAAAATACTCTGGCCCTAGCCAGTTTGGCTCGATGGACAGAGTGTCGGCCTTCGGACTGAAGGGTCCTGGGTTCGATTCCTGGTCAGGTCACATGCCCAGGTTGCAAGCTTGATCTCTAGTAGGGGGCGTGCAAGAGGCAGTTAATGATGTTTGCAGGCAGCTGAGCCGTGGGCCTGTCTATACAGGGCGCTGCCGGCTTCCACTGACTCTGGCCACTGGACTTGGCTGTTCTCGGGTCCAGCGGTTCCCCGCACCTGTTCCGCACATCCCTCAGCCTCCCGGTCAGCAGCCTTTTCCCAGCGGAGGTGAGCGCGGCCTCGCCGGCTCAGCCAGGTGGCTGCCGTGTCCAAGTGCTGCCGGTGTCTGGGGGAAGCTCTGCTTCCCTGGGAACCACATTCCACAGGAGCATCACACGAGGCACCCAGACACCGGCAGCTGCAACAGTTTCACCGGGGCCGCTGGGAGCAGGAGTGAGACGCACTTCACCCGTCGGCCCTGGAAGCTGTACTGTGGGCTCAACACAGGCATCTTCGCAGGCTCAGTGGCTGAGCATCGATCTATGAATCAGGAGGTCACAGTTCGATTCCCTGTCAGGGCACATGCCCAGGTTGCAGGCTTGATCCCCAGTGTGGGGCGTGCAGGAGGCAGCTGATCAATATTTCTATCTACCCCCTCCCTCTCTCTAAAATCAATAAAAATATATATATTTTTAAAAAGTTGATTGGCATCCATGGACCCAGTCATCTGGTCCAGGACACCTTTATTCTTAAAAATTATGGAGGACTCCAAAGAGCTTCTGTTTATGAGGGTTATATCAATATTTACCGCCCTGGAAATTAAACAAATTCTTTACATATTTACTTATTGACTTTATTTAAACATAAATTCATAACATGTTCCAATAATAACAAAATGTTTAATGCAAATTAACTATTCCCCACAATAGTAAGTGAGAAGAGTGGCATAGTTTTACATTTTTGCAAAATCATCTTTAATGCCTGACTTCTCATATCTGCTTCTGGTCAACCTGTTCCAATATCTCCTTGGTCGAAATACATGACGAACATTGGGCCTCACACCGATATGTAGTTGGAAAGGGAAGAGTATTTTAGAATATTCTCCAGTCATTGCACATATTCTAACTCCACATCATGACTCTAAGGAGTCGTTTCTTAGGGGCTCATTGCAATTTGGGGTGTGAAGCCATACCAGAGAAGTTTCTGTTCTCTGTCACATGAAAATCCACTGGTGCATTTTGCATGATTTTGGAGCATCACATGTGGGTCATTTGGAAAATAATAGTTCATGGAATTATGCAGATCTTCTGAATGTTGACACGTCTGTCCTATTGTACAATCTCAAAAACAATCACGTTCACTAATATCACCGTCCATCTTATCAAAAAACCTTTAACTATGAGTCAGCTGTCAAGTTCACAGCAGTGGACAGTGATGGACACGCCTGCTGGTCTCAGTCTATTGATTGTAACCCTATCAGCCAGAAATGCCTGGGGGACAGTCAGCTGGGCCCACTCACCTGGCCCAGGTGCGTTTCCCACAAACATCTCCCCTTCCCAAACCTGAGTTACCACTGGACAGATCCTTGTGGTTATTACGATCACAAGGTTCCCTTCATGAATAACCATTGGGAAACTTTGAAAAAAGAGTTTATTTCTCACAGGACATGCCAGGGGGCACACAGCAAGGTGAGAGAGAACACTCCGGGCGGGGGTGGGGGGGCTGCTTTTATTGTGTCGAGGTGGGTCCTAGGGTTTTCTGGGCTCACTGTTTGGTAAAGTTAAAGCATAAGAGGAGTAATTAGAGTGAAGGAAGAGATATAAAAGACAACTAACTAAAATGGTCAGTTATCAATCAACCAATATCTCTTACAACAAAGGAGCCTGGTTGGAGGGAGTTGGCCCTTTGCCTAGTCCTGTGGCTGTACTGTGTCTATTCCAGACGCCGCCTCTAAGCCAGCCCTCTTTGAAAGGGGCCTCTGCAATCCAAGCTTAAGTCAGGCACTTGCTATAAAAGCCAAATGCCAGGGCTTTCACTCACACAATTTCCTCAAAATCCTAGTATTTGCTCAGAAGCTAAGTGTTACTGTTGGCAACCAATGCTGTCTTTGTCTTCCTGAAGTGACAGTGTCCTCTTCTTAAAGTGTAAGTAGATGCCTGCTGGCCCTGGCCAGGGACCTCGGTTGGTTGGAGTATCGTTCCAATAGGCCAAGGTTGCTGTTTCGATCCCTGGTCAGGGCACATGCAAGAATCAACCAATGAGTGCATCAATAAGAGCGACAACAAGTCAAGGTTTCTTTCTCTCTTTCTCTCTCTCTCCCTTTCACTCTCTAAAATAAATAAAATAAGTAGCCCTAGCTGGTTTGGCTCAGTGGATAGAGCGTCGGCCTGTGGACTCAAGGGTCACAGGTTCAATTCCAGTCAAGGGCACATACCCGGGTCTCGGGCTCGATCCCTAGTAGGGGGCATGCAGGAGGCAGCCAATCAATGATTCTCTCTCATCATTGATGTTTCTATTTCTCTCTCCCTCTCCCTTCTTCTCTGAAGTCAATAAAAATATATGAAAATAAATAAAACCCTATATAATAAAGTGGTAATATGCAAATTGATCCTCACTCCTTCACACCATCACAAGATGGCTGTGCCCACAGCGGAGGCGGGGAGGGGGACCTGAGGCTGCGCCCCCCCCCACCCGATGGGGCTTGACGGGGGACCTCAGGACACGCCCCCACCTGGTGGGGCTTGACGGAGGTGGGGCTCGCCGGGTCTGGGTCTCACGTGATTTCAAGGTGCATGCGGGTGGGTGGGGACTTGACTCTGGGTCCTGCGGCGTGCCCCAGACTCTGACAGGAGGAAGATTTTCATATACATTTTACTAATTTTCTTTCATCTCTGACACTTCTATTATAGAGAAAGGGCAAATAGCAATATTAAAATATTTCCTCTAATTAATTCCCTTTTAATGTGCACAGATTTCATGCACCAGGCCACTAGTAAGTAAATAAATAATAACATTTTAAAAAAGAAAGGAAAGACAGCCTGCTAAGTAGCCAAGACTGAATGACTGTGGTTTATCTATCGGTCCGAGTAAAACTGTCAGGGCACATGCCCAGGTTGAGCTGGAAACTCAACCACCCAAGGACTTTTCCTTGAGGCAACTGTCATGTTTCATACTCAGCAGAAGCATTCTTCTCATTTTTTGTCACACGAAAGATAAAAAAAAAAAAAAGACCCATATTCAAGGATAGAGAATTAAGAAAAATAATAACTTACTCCTTGGACAAAAACATTTTTTTTTAAATATATTTTTATTGATTTCTGAGAGGAAGGGAGAGGGAGAGAGAGAGAAACATCAATGATGAGAGAGAATCTTTGATCGGCTGCCTCGAGCCCGCAACCCCGGCCTGTGCCGATTCCCGTGACCTCTGGCCGGTCAAAGACATTCTTGAGCAAATGACCTTTTCTGAACTGGTGGTGTGTGGCCTGAAGGACACAGGACCAGCACTTTGGGGCACCGTCTGGATCTGTGCAGGTCGGCAGCCGTTTTACCGCTATTGCACGTATGTCATTGTGAATGTCTCCTCAGTGAAAAAGGCGAATAATGTCTCAGTGTATTGCACCAGCATCGACTCTCCAGGCCCGGAAAGGTTCTCACGCTCTTCGGAACCGGAACCGCTGCTAGAGCACAAATCAGCCTTGGGCATGGGCTGACATTAGGGCCTTGAACTTGTTGTTGTATTTTCGTGGGCCGTTTGCGCCTTTAGAAGCAACCACCCTTCCTCTAGGGCCGCTCATAGTCCCCAAACCACAGCAAGTCCCCAGAGTCTAGCGTAGACCAAAGGAGAACATTCTTCTATGGGGGGAGGGGGGATGTCCGGGCTGTTGTAAACAGAGAATCTATTGGATGAAGCTTGGAGTTGAAAGTGTCCTGGCTTTCCATTGGCTGAGCTGGGGCAGTCTTTCATTGGCTGAGTAGTTGCCCATCTTCTTGCCCAGCTAGCAGGGGCTGAGAGCTCCTGGACGGGCCCTGCAACTCCATCTGTTTATTCATCTTCGCACCGTCAACAGCTCCTCCGTCCAGAGTAGCAAAGGCGCTGATTCGCTGCTCTGTCCCGCAGGGCACGGGCGGCGGTTTCCGACACCAGTGGGGGTTCCCAACTTCCGGCCCCAACAGGCCTGGAAACAAATCTACACTCTCTGTTACCTGCAACCCACTTTCTCAGAGTAAACTGGCTCCTTTAAAGAGGAATGTTACCGATTGAAGGGTGTTGGCCGACCTGCCCCCCAGGCCATGGAAACGGGGGCTGCTGCCCTAATTGCACGGGAAGAGCTGGAGGAGGGGTGGAGGGCGGGGGCAGAGGAGTCAGGCGGTTGGATGCAGCACAGGCTGGAGGGAGAGCCAAGCCCGCCCTCGGTGGGCTCCGTAACTGTCCCAATGCCCCAGGACCCCCACAGAGGCCCGACAGTCCCCTGGGTGGGCAGAAATATGGGGCCCTGGCCTCCACTGCTCTCCCCCAACCTGGGCCAGTTTAGGGTCTGACAGGGGTACAAGGAGGCTCTGGGGCCCGGGGACAGGGGCAAAGGCGGCTGCTCCCACCCTGCACTGGGAGGCTCCACAGGGGTGGCATCAGGATGGCCACTTTGGACCCAGAGGGGCAGCCCACCGAGCACCGCCCCTCCCCCAACTCTGGGCTCATTCTTCTCCTCCCCACCCCAGCCTCCTGCGAGACCTGCGGGCTCGCTGACCTGACCTCCGGGAGGCAGAGGCCCGTCCTGCCCCTCCCCCAACTCTGGGGCTCATTCTTCTCCTCCTACGAGACCGGCCTGCTCGCTGACCTGACCTCCGGGAGGCAGAGGCCCGTCCACCCTGAGGCATGCCCTCCATGGCCCCATCGCCCAGGTCTCATCGAGACTCAGCTCCCCGCTTCCTGCCTCGCCAGCCCCCACACACCCATGGAGCAACTCCAGGAGGGACCCACTCGACGTCCTGTACCTGCGCCTGCCCTGCCCGATCTCACCGGCTGGGAGGGCGGTGGAGAAGGGCAGCCACCCCTCCTCCCCGATGCTGCCCAGCGATGGAGGGAGCAGGTCAGCTCGGAGTTTCCTGAGGGGAGAAGAGCTTGACCCTGTTCTCTCCTGAGGTCAGCGCCCAGCAGCTCTGGGCACACGGGGAGGGACAGTGGGTTTGGGCAGGACAGGGGGCTGGGCCGAGCACAGCCTGAGCCGGGCAGGAGGGCTGCAGGCAGCATCTCTGATGGCCACAACGAGAGGTCAGAGTGGAGGTGGACGTTCAAGAGGTGATGGAGTTTTCAGCCCCTACGTGTGGATTTGAAATACCGTTTCCCACTCAAAGAAACCAGGGTTCCTTGTACATAGTCCCATACACCACAAGGTTGCGGGTTCCATTCCCAGTCAGAGCGCATACTGGGTTTTGGGTTTGATCCCCAGTCCGGGTGCTATGAGAGGGTGCTCTCTCACATCAATGTCTCTCTCTCCCTCTCTCTCTCTCTCTCTCCCCCCCCCCATATATACCCTATATAATAAGAGGTAATATGCAAATTGACCATCGCACCCTCGTGCACAAGATGACCACCCCCATGTGGTCACAAGATGACCACCCCATGTCATCACAAGATGGCTGCCACAAGATGGCCGGCAGGGGAGGGCAGTTGGGGACAATCAGGCCAATAGGGGAGCAGTTAGGTGTCGATCAGGTTGGCAGAGGAGTGGTTAGGGGGTGATCAGGCTGTCAGGCAGAAGCAGTTAGGGGCTATCAGGCAGGCAGGCAGGCAGGCAGGCAAGCAGTTGGGAGCCAGCAGTCCCGGATTGTGAGAGGGATGTCTGA